GGCCGACTTGAAGTGATGCTTGATGTGCCATTACACCATCTGCTACAGATGCAGTCATGCGATTGTGTCGATGCGGGATTGTTTCGAGTAGATATAATTAGCACAGCATGGACGACATGTGTTTGGAGCTTGCGTGTCCTCGCCATTATTATACCACTTGCGTAGCAATAATTAGCCCACAGAGTTTCACAATTCCCAATTCTTATTAGCAACTTGGTATTTAAAAAGCAGAAAGCAGATCTAGATAAACGTCAGCCAGTGCCACCAAGAAACGGTGCCTGGCCAAGATGCAGCTAATGCTCCCGTGTCATCAGAAACACGGTCAACGTCCGACCCGAAGGCTGAGGGGCCGAAGCCCGGTTGGAACTCGCAACCCTTCGACTAACATTAGCCACTTATTTGGCTCGAGGACGGTACTTGGTACTTGCCATGCTTACAAGCCACCTGATTCTTTATCGCACATGAGGTCTGCCTCTCATCACTTATGTCATCTTTCTTGTATGTAAATACGGATGTTATCCATTATTCTATCAACCCTGGGTGGGACTCGTGCAATCGGCAGATGTTGTAATCCGTAGCCTTGTCATTGACGAACAAGTTGAATATCCTTGGTGCTGGTCCCGACGACTCCATACCGACGCCAGGCCTGTCCAACCAGCAGCGCTCGAAAAAAAAAAACACCAGCATCACTAGGCCGAGGGTTGAACTTGTGGTGGTGGTGGCGCTTCAAAAGCCAGGCGGAGAGTAGCGCCAGAGGGTGTCTGCCCATCAAGGGGCCGGCCCTTGACATGAGAGGAGCAGACCGGGGGGGACTCGCCCAGCAAAGTGGTGGCCCCTTGACCGGACCTGGCTGCTTTCTGTCTCGTCGAGTAATCCGTATGGTGTATTCGTAGAGAAACTGGATACACAGTACTGAAAACTTGCGAGAGCAATGACCATCGGAAACAAGGCCCTATAGCCAACTCGTTTTATTATTGCATAAACACAACAACAAGTCCGTCGCCGCCCTCGCCGCCTCCGCAGCGGGGGAAGCCACTTCACAAGCCAAAAAATGTCAAAGCAACAACGGAACAACGATGGGCCTCCTCGGCCGGGATACAGAGCGTCCGCCGTGCCGGCAGGAGCCCTAGGTGGGTGAATTCAACGCCTTTGCCGAGCACGGGCCGGATTTGCGAAAACCACAGCGAATAAAAGCATCCGGCATCAGAGACATTGGGTTGGAGATGAAATTTTGACACACTCCTACCTCCCCGGGACCGTCTCGCCTGCCAGCTGAGTGGGCAGTCACACAACTACAACTACCCAGTAATTACTTTGTATGATGCCACGCATTGCTGCTAAAAACTGAAGTTTCTGTGCCTCGACTAATTGCGTGCTCCCATCTGACACTATGTTTCTAAAAATTGCTTGCATTCGAACCATTCGCGTAGCAGAGTGGCGGAGCTACTCGTAGCCTCCCATAAACAAAACAGTCGCAAGGATAAGAACAAAAAGAAGTACCCCACGATCGACTGCATAGACAGACGGTGGTAATCACGGGCTTGTTGGGGGGGAAGAGTCAGGCAAGGTTTAGTCAGAGGGCAAGAGGGGAACGTGATGATGTCTCCATAGAAGAAGCGGAGCGGCTATTTCTTGTGACGTCGACGGTGCAAGAAACCCCCCAAAAAAGAAAAGAACGGGGGAAAATGATTAAAATAGAATATAAAAATTAAGAGGAAGAAAAAAAACCTGGCAGGGCAGGGCAAGGCAGACTTTCAGCCTGCACTGCAGTAGTACAAAAAGTATTAGTGATGCCAGGCACGCCAGGGCAAAAGGGATCAAAAAAGATCAAGAGAACCAAGAACCAAGGCGGATGAGGTCATTCCCGAACAAGTGGGGTTTAGTATCAGCTGGGATAGAGGGGGGTCGTCGTTTTTCTCGTTTATTACCAGTCAGTCATGGTTGTATCAGTACCAGTAATAAGTTATGGTATTATGTCTGGAGCCAAGCAGACGAACTAGAATAATACCAGTAGAGGATAATGGGTGTGGAGGGAGGGAAAAACAAATGCATGACCCGAGCAAATGTCTCTCTGCCTTGCGCCCGCGGTAATGGTTTTCAATCAAAGAAAAAAAAAACAAAGAAGACAAGGCTGGATATTGTGTCAAAATGCCAGTTTTTTTTTTTACTTGTCAACGCACTGCGAATAGCCAATCTTGCTTGGGCAACGAAAGACAGACACGGCAAGGCCCATGACATCAAAAAGGCTCTCCCGGGCTGGCGTCGGCGGCGGAGAGAAGAAATGCAGGCAACCCACCACTTCTGCCGTTGTTGCTTTGAGCCAGCATTAGCGTCGGTGTGCTAGCCCCATGCCCATGATTGTAAGCAAGAAGAGTGAAAAAAAAAAAAAAAAAAACGAGGG